CTGTGTTTGAACTTGTCTGTTTGTGTTGTTGTTGTTGCCCACCAGGTGGCGCCACGGTCACCACCTGGACGTGGGCCACCCGCCACCACCATCACCACCACACCACCACACTCTAAAGCACCACATTTATCCCAACTGTTGCCAGTTTCTGGAGATACCAGTACCACCACTACCACCACCACCACGCCCGCCACTACCACCAGCTCCACGCCCCTCAGCTACAAGTACTCAACCACACCAGTACCACCACTGGTCCGCACTCATGTTAACAAGTGAGTGTGGGTGTACTCCGTTTAGTCCATTTATAGTGTAGATACTCTCTCTGTGTCTCTAACCAACCTGTCCTCCTACAAAGAGCGTCGCATTTCGATCGTATGCGTTACAATAGGCCAAAAATTGCTGTACTAGAAAATGGAACCTGGGCAACCTGAGAGGTGGCTCCCAAAAGTGGCTGCCAGAGTTTAACTCAAGCAAGTGCAAGGTAATGAAGCTGGGTGTTCTGAACACGACGCTGGACAGTGTAAGGAAATGATTATAATTGTGTGAGTATGACTGTGTGAGCATGAGAGTTAGTATGACCGGTTCTTGATTTAATAACTTAGTAAAGAAGCCTAGCAGATCTGGCACCAGATTCACGAAGCAGTTACGCAAGTACTTACGAACGTGTACATCTTTCCTCAATCTTTGACGCCTTTGGTTACATTTATTAAACAGTTTACAAGCATGAAAACTGCCAATCAACTGTTGTTATTGTTATAAACAGCCTCCTGGTGCTTCGGAGCTCGTTAACTGTTTAATAATTGTAAACAAAACCGCCAAAGATTGAGAAAAGATGTACAGGTTCGTAAGTGCTGGCGTAACTGCTTTTGTGAATCTGGCCCCTGGCCTCAGATACGTGTCCTGAGAAGCACGGCCAGAGACACACGTGCCGTGTACCCAAACACAGATAAGCACCGAGTCTTACGTTGGTCTGGAAGTGTTTGGTGTAAGGAGTGAACAAGTGGCAACAGCGCCGGGTGTGACCAAGATGGCGGAAGAGCTGTCCACAGCCAGTCACAGACGAGTGGTTAAACGATGATACCAAACTCAATTAAACCTTTCTTTGTCGACCAGTATCTCCACAAGCCTTACTTTGTCGACCAGTATCTCCACAAGCCTTACTTTGTCGACCAGTATCTCCACAAGCCTTACTGTGTCGACCAGTATCTCCACAAGCCTTACTTTGTCGACCAGTATCTCCACAAGCCTTACTGTGTCGACCAGTATCTCCACAAGCCTTACTTTGTCGACCAGTATCTCCACAAGCCTTACTTTGTCGACCAGTATCTCCACAAGCCTTACTTTGTCGACCAGTATCTCCACAAGCCTTACTTTGTCGACCAGTATCTCCACAAGCCTTACTTTGTCGACCAGTATCTCCACAAGCCTTACTTTGTCGACCAGTATCTCCACAAGCCTTATTTTGTCGACCAGTATCTCCACAAGCCTTACTTTGTCGACCAGTATCTCCACAAGCCTTACTTTGTCGACCAGTATCTCCACAAGCATTTGTCGACCAGTTTCCACAAGCCTCTTTGATCAGTATCTCCACAAGCCTTACTTTGTCGACCAGTATCTCCACAAGCATACTTTGTCGACCACAAGCCTTACTTTGTCGATTGTGTCTTACACTGTCGACACAAACTCCAGCGCCTTGATAACACGAGCACTACCATGGTGGAGCAACTTAACAATAGCTACAAATTGTAAAATAAAGGTAGAAAAATAAAAACGAGGGGAACAAACACCATAAAAAGGAAAGGAATGAGAAAAATAATAAAGGGAGGGAACAAGGAGATAAGAGGAATGGTGCAAGAGACAGAGAGAGAGAGAAGAGGGGGATGAGACAGGAGGAAGCAATGTTCACTACCCAAGAAGGGCGCTTTAAAACTCACTGTTTATATTGCAATTTTAACAAGAAGGACGCTGGAGGACCTTAACAGCTCTGGTCAAATATGGCAGGAGTGGACCATGTAGGGGGCGAGCGGCCCGTGTGAGGACGGCCCGGGCGCCCGCCGCCAACACCAACATGGGCCAAACTTGAAGCCTCGCACCGCCATTGTTTTAAAAACATTTTTCGAATGCGCTAAAAGGTGTCATAAACTTAAACCCTGACCACACACCACACAAATAAACTAGTTAACGGCCAGACAATTGTCAGACGGGCAGACAATTGTCAGGAGGTAGATGGAACTAGCTGATGGCATCAGGTAGTTGACGGATGATTGATGAGGCAGATTGATGAGTGTGTTTCAAGAGACTTAAATCAGACAAGAACGATGAGGAGGAAAAGTGGAGTGAGGAGAGAGATCGATAGCGAATGTTAGGCGTAAGGAATGAGAGATAAAGAGGAGTAAAGCGAGATTAAGTAAGCTCAATTTATGTGCATTAGTAAGATGAAGAGTAAGAACGGGACACAAGCGGCTAAAAAGGAATATCAAAGGAGATATAAATAAGATGCAACAAGTATCATTAGAAAATAGAACACGAAAAGATGGATTTATTTTAAACAAGTTTAAAGTTGGAAAAAAAGGCAATCAGTAGTTTGGAAATAGAGTTGCAGATCAATAAAACGAAGTTATGAGCACCATAGAAGCAAAAATCACTAGAAAGGTTCAAGCATAAATGGAAGTGAATGGGTATATAATGGGAGATGCCTGGCAGGAGTTATTAGGCTTTCTGAAGATGATTGTATTCATGTATTCCTGTTCATACAAGGGGGCCAAGACTGCCTCAACTATGCTTGCTTTCATATTTGATTTTCCTTCCATGTTGTGGCCTTCCTCCTGGAATTATGTCTGACATCTTAGAGTTTTAGTGATATTGATGAGATGCCACACATGGATTTTTTTATTATTATTATTTTCTACCACAGACGTGGTCACACATTTACAATGCTAGCCAACATATATACATTTTTTTCTGTCCTCCATGGACAGGGTTAGAGATGTGTTAAACATATAGTTCAAGGGTTTATTGAACAATCAACCACAGAAGGTGATTCGGTGCTTTTAAAATGCTAGGCTAAGCACATGGAGGTGAACAGGACGGTGGACAACCTAGGCTTGTCCCTTGTACCTCCAGCTGCCGCGGTCATGGCGGACTAGGCTCACGCCTCTACAAACATCATCACATTTACTTAATACCGTGGCCCCTGCCCCATTGTTGGTTAATATACCAGATGAGGAAACATGATTGGATAATAGGAATGGTTTCGTCTTTTTGGGGTGTTGTATGCTGCTATAGCAGTGTGTTCACTCGCACGATGTAACTTTTTTGCAGGTATGTTCCTGCCTGGGCCCTAAGCCTCTGGCTGGCTTATTAAGTGTTACTCGTTTATATTTTACTTAGGCGGTGTATGAGTATTTATGACTCGTATGGTCGCTTCAGTAAGATTATTCCCCACGTGTTTAACAACTTCCTCTGCTCTGTTGAACCTAAGTTGAAATCTTAATGGGTTTGTAACTGTGCATTGTGTTAGATAATGTTCCACTTTGTCGGGCATTTCTCCACAGTGCTGACATTTCCTCTCATCTTCTGGAACCTGTAAGCCTATTTCCCATGCACATGGGTATTCAAGCCTGATGCGATGTAAGTGTACTTCTGGTGTTCTACTTCTCCCTTTCATCAAAATAAGTGGTTCGTAGTTGGTTGAATTCTTGTACCAACCCGCAGATCCTGATGTTGCAACTGCTGTGTTGTGGTCACTGTACATCATCTGCATTGCTCTGTTTCTAATTGCTTGCTTAATCTGTGATAGACTTTGTGGTATGTAAATGCCTACATTTCTTCGCTTAGTTGCAAGTTTTGCAGCTTCGTCTGCAATGTCATTTCGTATTATTCCCACATGACTTGGCACCCAGTGAGTGACGCTGCCCAGTACTGTCACTATGGCGGTGTTCCCACTCACAGGATGAGTGACGCTGCCCAGTACTGTCACTATGGTGGTGTGTCCACTCACAGGATGAGTGACGCTGCCCAATACTGTCACTATGGCGGTGTGTCCACTCACAAGATGAGTGACGCTGCCCAGTACTGTCACTATGGCGGTGTGTCCACTCACAGGATGAGTGACGCTGCCCAGTACTGTCACTATGGCGGTGTGTTCACTCACAGGATGAGTGGCGCTGCCCAATACTGTCACTATGGCGGTGTGTTCACTCACAGGATGAGTGGCGCTGCCCAATACTGTCACTATGGCGGTGTGTCCACTCACAGGATGAGTGACGCTGCCCAATACTGTCACTATGGCGGTGTGTCCACTCACAAGATGAGTGACGCTGCCCAATACTGTTACTATGGCGGTGTGTCCAATCACAGGATGAGTGACGCTGCCCAATACTGTCACTATGGCGGTGTGTCCACTCACAAAATGAGTGACGCTGCCCAATACTGTCACTACGGCCGTGTGTCCACTCACAGGATGAGTGGCGCTGCCCAATACTGTCACTATGGCGGTGTGTCCACTCACAGGATGAGTGACGCTGCCCAATACTGTCACTATGGCGGTGTGTCCACTCACAGGATGAGTGACGCTGCCCAATAAACTAGCTCTCCAGAGGAAAATAAAGTGTAAAGTGCTTGACTAGGTACTCACCTATTACTCACCTAGCAGAAGGTTAAGGAGAATCTGATAAGTACGTATGTAAGTACTTTACACGAAGTATAAAATTTAAACAAAGAAATGTTAAAAGGCAAGACGAAGAAGCATAAGTAAAGAGGTTTCACGCATGACTAGAGTTTAAAGGTGTGCTCCCACAAGACAAAGTGCTATGCCCAAGTGGCAACCAATTGTATTATTCCCAGTACCGACAACACCAACGTCGCAAGCCCCTGAACAATATACAAAAAACTTAATATATACTAACCTATGAGCTAAATATATAGTAATAAATTTAGTAACCAGTAAGATGCTAAAACAAGTAAAATTATATGATTTAAGTTACAAAATTAGTTAAATATTGATTTGTCGGTGTTCATCCTGAGAAAAAAATGTGTGTCGGCTGGGGGTATCTGGCGGGAAAGAGAGGCTGGGCAAGGTTGGTCGCTGCTTCCGCCTCAGTTTGGTCTCAGCTTGTGTAGTGAGCGGGTCGTGCTCTCCGTCCTCCCGCGCCCTCCCACACATTCTCTTCTATGACTTTACCCTTAATAATTGGATTTAACGACTCGTGAAGATGATATTTGTAATTAGTGCCCTTTTTAAGTAGTGTATTTGATTAACCAAAGACAGTGCTGGGTTTGTTATTGTGATGACAGATGATTGTTATGAAGCAAAGAAAATGTAAACAAATAAACTTTTATCAGATGAAAACATGGTGGATATATAATATATATATTTTTTTTTACGTTTGTACAATTGATATAAGTATATGTGATTGGTTGCCGCTTCGTATCCTGCTTAAAGTATATTGACACTGACTAGTCATAGCCGTCTCTGTGAATGTGTTTGTGTTAGTGAATGTTTATGTGCACATGATCTGTGGGAGTGTATGTGCACATGGCCTGTGTGAGTGTTTATGTACACATGACTTGTGTGTGTAGGTGCTGGTGAGTACGTACTCACATGAGTGCACTTGTGGGGTGGAGCATAACCTCACAAGACCCGGCCGATCTAGCTACTGCTGAGTTGAATGATTCATTCCTCAAGTTGCTTGGCTTGTTTTCATTTGAAGTTGGTTGTTGAATTTGTGAGTGTTTATGTGAGTACTCACGTCAGTGTTTATGTGAGTACTCACGCCTTTGTTTATGTGGGTACTCACGCCTTTGTTTATGTGGGTACTCACGTTAGTGTTTATGTGGGTACTCACGCCTTTGTTTATGTGGGTACTCACGACTTTGTTTATGTGGGTACTCACGACTTTGTTTATGTGGGTACTCACGTTAGTGTTTATGTGGGTACTCACGCCTTTGTTTATGTGGGTACTCACGTTAGTGTTTATGTGGGTACTCACGTCACGCGGTTGTGTTATTGTCATAATGCAGTAACTAGACTGTCTTGTCTGGTGTCATAAATGCTGTGATTCTGAAACTGGAGGTGGCTTCTGCCTCCTCTTATATCTACGTACTTCCACAATACTGTGTAACAATGACATCACCCCGGGGCTGTGTGCTCTTGGACTGGTCTCACGTAGGTAGTTGACTGGGTTTCTGAAAGCTGTCTTGAAGTTGCCCGTATCGCCTATGCTGTTGGTGCTATTCTTACTCTGTAGTCATTCTTGGTGCTTTCCCAGTTTGTTTTTCTTTCTAGATTTTTGGTGGTTATTCCCGTTCATCATATGAAGGTGTCTTATCACCTTACACTTACTGCTATTAAAGCCTAATAGCCATTTGTTCAAACCCTCTCCGTAGCTTTCATATGTCTTGATTCTTCTCTTTTTTAGTTTGTGTCGTGAACAAACACTAACATTGAAGACTCCTGTGGTTATGTCATTGACAGTTTGGCCTAATCTCATTGGTCATTGACCTGTGAAGGAGGGAAGGGTAACGGTGATTGGGAAGGAAGGACGAGGAATGGAGGAAATGGGGGAATGTCATTGTTACCCATTTAACATCCTCCAATCCCCGATTTTGGAATGCGACGTTACGGTTCTACGCTTGGCCGGACGTTGGGATGTTGACAAGTGAAACTCTCCAAACGTCTACATTTCTACCACGGTATCCAGATCCATGCGAGGGTCATCTACTCCACTAGAATAGATAATCTACCTGGGAATCACTGCTGTACCTGGCGCTTACAAGAGGGTAAATGGGTCCAACAGTTCCTGGGTTCCAATTAAGTTTATTTAGATGGACTCCATGCCGGGTAGAGGATAGGCTACAGAAGCACGTAATATTTCAGGAACTGAACCCCAATATTCGTGTAGCTTAGCAAGTTACATCAACGTGAACTAACTACACAGTTTGTTACTATATTAACAATCCATTCACAATTTTGGTTAGTTTAGCTTGATTATCAGAAGGCTAAATAATTACCAGAAGTCACATAATGAGTTCAGAAGCTGAACAGCTGTGTTGTATAAGGTAAACAGTTTACACGTGTGGTGAACTTGTTAGTGATATTGTGATGTTAGAGCCAGTGCCTCCACGTTCTCTTGCATAACAACATAATCATTTAATAATAACAGAAACTGCAGAAGCCCTATTGGTCCATACGAGGCAGCTCCTATTGGTCCATACGGCGCAGCTTCTATTGGTCCATACGAAGCAGCACATATTTAAATAATATGTAATACCACATCCATAACACTACTCGGTAGTTTGTTCCATAAATCAACAAACCTGTTTCCAAACCAATATTTACCCAGCTCTTTTTCCTGGATTTAAACTTATCCAATCTATATCCACAGTTTGTCGATATCCCTAGTCGAGGAATATGTAGATTGTGCTAATATGGATTCTTTGAGAATGTCTAAGTAGTGATAAATAAGTCTTTTTACTATCGTATTGGTTCAGACTTGTATTTTAGTATTCTATTTGATTTTGGAGTTGTTTAAGAAGTTGTAATATATCATATATCTCGCGAAACGATTGATTGGTAGTTGGATGCTTGTTAAGGGCCTAGTGGACCAAACTCTCACAAGTCAAGCCTGGCCTCGGGCCGGGCTTGGGGAGTAGAAGAACTCCCTGAACCAGGTATCAACCAGGGTTGGAGGTCTAGCAATATCATGCATAGGAAGGTTACAATGGGTGAGACACTAGTGGCAGGGCGCCATGTTGGCGTAGGAGGCGAGGTGGTACCCATCACAGACTAACAACATGTGGTGCGAATATTAAACTGCTGTGTTGGTGTGAAGTGACAACACACCACGTCTGCAACACACGCTCACAATTTCTTCTTTCAGCTAGAGTCTTCCACTTGCTGACCACCCGTACAGACAGCGAAAACGTCCTTAAGAACAAATCCACAAGGGCCGTGACGAGGATTCGAACCTGCGTCCGGGAGCATCCCAGACACTGCCTTAATCGACTGAGCTAGGATGTCTGGGATGCTCCCGGACGCAGGTTCGAATCCTCGTCACGGCCCTTGTGGATTTGTTCATTTGATGCATCACGTTAGTGTGATCTCTGTGTGTGAAAACGTCCTTACATTTCTTCGACTCCTGTGCATGTCCAGCTTCCACTGTGTTCTCTCATTCTACTTTCTCTCACTCTAAAGATGTTGCCAATGTCTATCGTGTCAATTCCCCCTCAATATCTTGTATATTGTAATCATGTTCTCTCTGTTCTTTCTCTAGGGTTGTGAGGTCTTGTTCCCTTAACCTATCCTTATAGCTTAGTCCTTTTAACTCTGGCACCAGTCCTGTTGCAAGCCTTTGTACTTTTTCAGTTTAGGTTTTATGCTTCACAAGGTGTAGATTCCAGGCCACTGCTACATATGCCATTATTAGTCTAAGAAAGGCTTTGTAGATTGCCTGGAAGAAGCCCTGGTATAGTTTTCTAAACGATGCTCTAATGTTTGCCAGCGTCCCATATGCTGCTGATGTTACCCTGTTTATATGTACCTCTGGAGATAGTGTTCGAATTATATAACTCGCAAATATTTCTCACTTTTATATTCTTTGTAGTTGCTTTTCCCTCATGATGTAGATACCTCCTGGTCTCCTGCCTTTCTCTCCCATCTTCAGTTACCTTACACTTGTTAGAATTGAATTCCTGCAACCATTTGTTTGGCCACTCCTAGAGTTTGTCGAGGTCATTCTAACTTTCTGCAGTCCTCCATTTTTCATTTATCATTATCTTTACGTCGTCTGTATATATTGACACGTTCACACTCAAGGTAGGTCATTCATTCATATTAGCAACAGTTGGGGTCCAAGAACCGAGCCCTTCGGAAGGCAGAGTTCCCTGTCATGCGGGGTTTACTGTCGTGTGGGGGTATTGGGGTAGGGAAGGTCATCCACCCTATACTAAACCCGAAGTTATTAAGTGTTGAAACAATCACAAGAGAAAGTTTAAGGTATGGAAGGTATCTAGTGAGGTAGGGGAAGGAGGGAGGGGGGAGGAAGAGAGGAAGGAAGGGAGAATGGATTAATTTAATCCATGTTGTCACAAGAGAAAGGGAACTTCTTAATGTAAGGCAATTATGAGGATAAACTGTTAACCCAGTATGAGTATAGAGCATAAAGTATGTCAAATATGAGGACATACTGAGGGGGGAAGGGAGGTAGTAGGCAGGGGACAAGAGCAAGACCTCACTGTTAGGTAAGAGGGTGAAGCATTATACAGAAGGGAAGGTGGTGACCCGAGGCAGGAGTCGAGCCTTCACCTGTCACCCAAACCACCAATATATTCCTCTTCAACAACACACTTACACTGTCTCCTGTCTCACATCCCCACCTCTCACCTTCTCGGCCAGCGACACTTGGCCTAGACCCTCTCACATTTGGCCGACGACACTTGTCCACGGACGAGCGCTTTGGAAGTGGCCAGGGACACTTGGCCTAGACCCACTCCCATTTGGCCGACGACGAGCGCTTTGGAATTATTATTATTAACATCTTTATTGACGCTTTGGAAGTGGACATTTTCCGTCACGGATCTTCACATTTGTTTCGTTAATTTTGTGTTCTTGATTAAAATAGACCAGACCCTGCACGGTACTGCAGGTGGACTGCACGGTACTGGAGGTGGACTGCACGGTACTGCAGGTGGACTGCACGGCACTGGAGGTGGACTGCACGGCACTGGAGGTGGACTGTGTCTTGAGGTGCGTGATGGTGGCGGGGGAGGCGTCCACCCTGCAGGGGCGTGACCTGGCAAACAGTTGGGGTTCAACTACCCACATTAATGTACCTCCACGCACAGTGTCCTGTGTCAAACAGTCCCTCCAGCCACCGATTTCGTCTGGGTTCGAGTCCTGGTCTGGGAGGATTGACTGGGACTCTTAGTTGACTGGGTTACCTTGATGTAGAACACTTGTTAGTTGAGAGGACGGGTTGAACTAAGGGAACTATCAGGGGGAAAGCGCCAAGCCATTACGACTATATAGCACTGGGAAGGGGTCAGGATAAGGATTTGGGATGGGACGGGGGGGAAGGAATGGTATCCAACCACTTGGACGGTCGGGGGATTGAACGCCGACCTGCATGAAGCCAGACCGTCGCTCTACCGTCCAGTCCAAGTGGGTGGGTAAGAGGACGGGTTGAGAGCATCCATTAAGTCCTACCCATATTTATCCATCTATCCCCCCTATTCCCACCCATATCTATATATACCCATTCACCTTCCATTATACATACCCACACCTACTCTACCACTGCCCTTATGCTTCCATCCTCCCACATTTGTGTATCCACGTATATCAGACCAATTCTGGAATTTACAGCGATAGCGTGAACTCCAGATCTCGTTTAACACAGAACAGAGAGGTTGAAGTCCTTAAGGCATGGCACTAAGCTGGCCTCAGTGCTGAGAGATATACCACCAAACTTGTCCCAGAGCTGAGAAGTATGAGCTACGAGGAAAGACTAAGCAAAACCTTACATCACTGGAAGAGAGAACAGGAGAGACATAGTCTCGACATACGAAATACCAATAATATTTGACAGGGTAAGCAAGGACATGCAGTTTGAGAAGGAATGTAAATGATCAGAGAGACACTTGAAAATTAACTACCCAAATTTATATAGCAGTGGCGCTATATAAATAATATTTATTGTTTAAGGTGGTGAAGGCAGACACGGATTAAAGCATAGATATGTAAGAACCCAAAGTGTCCGGTTGGGTACCAGAAGCTAAAGCTCAACCCCCTGCAGGTACCTTGCCTTGAGGTAACTTCGGGGTTTAGTAACCCCGCGGCCCCGGGCGTCGACCAGGTCTGCTAAGAGGTAGAACTAGGTTCGTACAGACACATTAACCCCTTTCTCTATTCCCACCTACAGCCAATCTTACCAATCCTCCATCCCTCTCCCCCAGCAATACCTGTCCCGCCACCCTAGCCCGCCCGCCCGCCCTGGCCCACCCTGGCCCACCCTAGCCCGGCCGCCCGGCCGCGCCCTCAACAGCACCAAAACGGAAACAACAGCTGTACGGAGTGTCGCACCGCCTCTCTCTCTCCCTCCCTCTCTGCTTCCCTCTCTCTCTCTCCCTCATGCTGGTGCTGGTGTCCGTGGTGGTGCTGGTGTCCGTGGTGGTGCTGGTGTCCGTGGTGGTGCTGGTGTCCGTGGTGGTGCTGGTGTCCGTGGTGGTGCTGGTGTCCGTGGTGGTGCTGGTGTCTGTGGTGGTGCTGGTGTCCGTGGTGGTGCTGGTGTCCGTGGTGGTGCTGGTGTCCGTGGTGGTGCTGGTGTCCGTGGTGGTGCTGGTGTCCGTGGTGGTGCTGGTGTCCGTGGTGGTGCTGGTGTCCGTGGTGGTGCTGGTGTCCGTGGTGGTGCTGGTGTCCGTGGTGGTGCTGGTGTCCGTGGTGGTGCTGGTGTCCGTGGTGGTGCTGGTGTCCGTGGTGGTGCTGGTGTCTGTGGTGGTGCTGGTGTCCGTGGTGGTGCTGGTGTCCGTGGTGGTGCTGGTGTCCGTGGTGGTGCTGGTGTCCGTGGTGGTGCTGGTGTCCGTGGTGGTGGTTGTGTCCGTGCTGGTGCTTGTGTACGTGCGGCTGGTGAAGGTGTTAAGGGTTGTAACTCGTGTTCCTGACAAGAGAGGCGATGCTTTGGGTAGTAGTTGCTCTGTAGTTGAGTATAGTTGTGTTGTGATGCTTTTGGAGGTGGTGGTGGTGCAGTTAACAGTGTTGAACCTAAAGTATCGTGTACACTTTTTTTGGTGTAAGTCTAACAAGAGATCAAACCGGTTCTGGTATGCTTTGTTACCAGCAGTTCCTGTAGTGAGGAAGGTGGGAGGGAGTAAGAGAGGGAGGGAGGATGGAGGAAGAGAAGTGAGGGAGAGAGGATGGAGGAAGAGAGAGAGAGAAAGAGAGCATTTAGACAGCTTACAGCATTTAAACTGCTAAATACCTAACAGTCTATAATAATTAGACTTGATATGTAATAGCCTCGTGTCTAAAATATTCTATACATTAATAATTTTAACAAAAAAATAATAAAAAACATAACACTGAACATTGAAATTATGCATTATATATTATAAATTAATACCTATCAAAATGATACTGGATAAACGACAAAGACATTTGTATACAATAGTGAGTTACAATTATAACAACACTTGTGTACGCATTACGAAATGAAAGAGTAGATATATACAGATATATATCTATATATATATCTATATATATATAGTAGAAAGAGTAGATATGTCACGTGTAGTAGATACACATGCCATGTTAAATTGTGGTGGCATTGAAGCCTCATGTAAGCCTTTATCATAACAGTCCGGTCGGTTGCACTCCCGTGTGAGTTACAAGCTTACATACTTCCATATCTTTTGTTAGTCTCCACAATTTTAACATGTTGAATATGTGATTTACGAGCTCTTTTGCATTGGTGAGCTGTATAGACTTAAGCATAATATAGGCTTAGGCTCCGTACTATATGCTGTTTACTGAATGTAATGGCATAGGGATTTATTTTAACTTTTAAAGTATCTTGTGCCCATCATCTGGTTCTAATGCTTTTCAATAAAAGTTTCCAACTTTTACCTTATATGTAGTACAGAACCTCTGGCAGGCTTCCCCTGCACCAAGATGATTACGTATTATCATGTTGACCAAACCACACAGTAGAAATTGAAGGGACGACGACGTTTCGACTTGAGAATGGTCCAGAACGGACCAAAACGTCGTCGTCGTCCCTTTACTTTCTAGTGTGTGGTCTGGTCAACATATTTCAGCCACGTTATTGTGACTCCTCGTCTGCATATCTATTAAAGTATGAGGTTTATGTATTGTTATTGCATGGACTTTTGTGTGTTCAATCTGTGTCTGTTGGACATGTAGGGATTCTGTGATCATTTTGAGTTGGGTAGTTGTGTTAGTACTACCGGAACACAGGTAGTATCCCCTAGTATTACCGGGAAGTACCAGAGCAGACGGAACCCTTGTACGGGGACCATCAAGGCCACAAGGAGAGTGAAGCCTTGATCTGCTGATTCATACGAAACAAAAACAATACAAAAATAATTAGCGCAAGTTTCGGGCCCCCCCTTTAAGGGTTGACGGATGCCACGCCCGTTCACGCCCCTTCAACGTGCAATATTGTGATTGGTTAGACGGTTTATACCGGCGTTGTAATTGGTGGACGCCTTTTAGCTTCGAACTCAATCGCGAGCTCTCGGTATTGTCTGAAGCGATTGTAGGCGATGGTGGAAACCATCGTTGAGTAATTAAAGCCTTTGTTTTGAGCTCTTTTGTTCCATTATTTCTTGTTAATGTATTTTTAGACCTAAGATTATTATGCTTTCAGATGTTTGTCCACGTTTCTTATATTTTTTGTTTACATACTCATAAACTTGTATGTATATGAATACGCACTTTTTTGCATGTATGTTTATTATTTTTGTAATTTATTACACTTTCGTGAATTAGCATGTTGTGAAGAAATACATTAGTCACAATGAGTCGTAATTTTATATCCACTAGGCTGCTGCTCCTACCTAACCAAGCCGGCCGGACTGCTTATATCCTCATCTCACTCAAACTCTTTTATTTGTGTAGGCCTCTGTATTTAAATATAGAGGCCTACAATACTACTAGGCCTCTGTATTTTAATATAGAGGCCTACAATACTACTAGGCCTACTTTAAATCGATTTTATCAACTTACGTTTTGTATGGCATTCAGCAGCCTAAGTTTGTCTTGTGAGAAAATCGTGTTCCGTACCGTGACTATTCTTGATGCCTGTTCTTGTATGATACTTGTATTGTGTGAAATCACAGTTTTGCCTGAGCAACTTTCTCAAAAACATTAATCATTTCAGAGCAATTACATGGCTAATGCCGCCAAAACGTACAATCACTGGACATAATTAAATACGCTAACCAGATATTACGCTGATGTTTTCACATCAATTGCCATGACATTTACAGGGTTTATAAGCAAATCAAAACCCAGAAGAAAAATGTTAGTTATAATACGTTGTGTATATGATGGAATTGTTCAACTGGAAGAGCATCGAGTTGAGAGATGAGGGTTCGATACCCTTACAATGCGTTAATATTTCCTCATTGATATACCACATTCTCGTGATTTTTACGTGGAAAACGTTGTTGCATAACTATATATAACAAAAGTCAAGAAGAGATCTGCTAGATAAAAATAAATCAAATATATATACTTATAGAACAAATATACAGTGATCAGCTAGCATTTGTTTTTGTCGACTAAAGGGCGGTGATTTATATATTCTGGGTGTCGCCAAGAACGATTTAAGGAGCCAGCTTCTGTGGGTGTAGCCAGGTGCAGCCTCTGATACACTGACACCCAGGCCTCAGCACTCCCTGCCTCCCTGGGGTAACCAGAGTGCTGGGAACTCCCTTCGGGCTCACCATAGCCCGTGCTACTTGGAACTTTTTGTCCCAGGTAGCAAATCTTAAACAACAGCTGGGAACTCTCCACTACTGCCACGATGTTGGCGATCAAGAAATACTTCACCTCCAAGAAGCGAAGGAACTCTGCGGAATATGTAAGTCTTCTGGTTAATAATATATGTGTATGTATTGTTAATTTTTATTATTATCATAACTATGAATTTAATACACATGCCTTCATTAAGATGGGTACTGTCCCAGGCTTTCATATTGTGAAATATGTGAAGGTACCTTACAATAGGTGTAAGGTACCTTACAATATGTGTAAGGTACCTTACAATAGGTGTAAGGTACCTTACAATATGTGTAAGGTACCTTACAATAGGTGTAAGGTACCTTACAATAGGTGTAAGGTACCTTACAATAGGTGTAAGGTACCTTACAATAGGTGTAAGGTACCTTACAATAGGTGTAAGGTACCTTACAATAGGTGTAAGGTAACTTACAATAGGTGTAAGGTACCTTACAATACGTGTAAGGTACCTTACAATAGGTGTAAGGTAACTTACAATAGGTGTAAGGTACCTTACAATACGTGTAAGGTACCTTACAATAGGTGTAAGGTACCTTACAATAGGTGTAAGGTAACTTACAATACGTGTAAGGTACCTTACAATAGGTGTAAGGTAACTTACAATAGGTGTAAGGTACCTTACAATACGTGTAAGGTACCTTACAATAGGTGTAAGGTACCTTACAATAGGTGTAAAGTACCTTACAATAGGTGTAAGGTACCTTACAATATGTGTAAGGTACCTTACAATAGGTGTAAAGTACCTTACAATACGTGTAAGGTACTTTACAATACGTGGAACGCACCTGGGTGCTGGAGACTAGGCTCAAACAGGAACTAGACTTACACATGAAGACATGGAGAGCTTGTGTTGTAACTTCTGGAAAACAACAGAAATGTTCACATTAGTAAATATGAATCGACCTAGCTAATTAAAGTTAATCAAAGCGAGTTGATCTAAATGCAAATTAGTCCAAGTCAATCGTATAGACTACGGTAAGTTAATATTAGATTAATCAAAAACCATCTTGGGGTTTAAACTTTGAATAATGCTGGAACTTGGAATAAATTCGACCTATCCTCTCACCAGACTTGTATTTTTTAAACGGAATCGCCCAAACGTCAAAATTATCGTGTTTTAGCAAAAAATTAAAGCACCGTAATACCGACGTGTTCTGAGCATTGGCCTATTTACAGGTTACATTGATATTATACCTTAGAACAATTCTGGTTAGGAAACCCAATTGATTTTTTTACAGAATGTCATAACTTAAGAACAGGCTACGTCCCATTTTAGAAAGTGTTAGAATGAAGTATGACCTTTCATGCCCTCTAAAGTGTCTTTATTGATCTCTGTATGATTCTATATTGGTCAAGAGAGAGAGAGAGAAGTGAAAGGGAGATATGGTTTGGGAGTGACCTCTCCCCTACAGCTTTCACCTGGGCGCCATAATTATGGGGGCCGACGCATGCACTCTCCACCTCTCTGATTGACTGACATGTTGATGTGGGTGCTTTGTGAAGGTTGCTCGGCTGTGCTAGCGTGATGACATTGCTGGTGTGTTGAAAACTGTGCAGGAATTCTTCTCCTTAGGCGTCCGCGCGCACGTGCACCTTCCTCCCTCCCACCACCGTACATATATTGACGTAATCGACAACTAGAAAGTAGAATTCGGTATTAATGAATTTGGACAAACTGGAAAAGGTTTTGTTTTTATGTTGATAATTAAACCTAACCATCCTAGGCCTAATACAAGCTATTTGAGCCCTAATATATATAGTACATATTAGGGGGTCTAATATATAAGATATTTTGAGTTGGAGTCACTGCATTAGACGACCGAGTGCTGGAAAAGCCAGACCCAAGAGCTGAAGCTCGATCAGCAAACACAACTAAGGTGTAGGTTTAAAAAAGGGCACCCAAATATGACTTTTTTAGGAAAAGTGTATTTTTGTTTATACTCTGTGTGTGAGGCAATAACCATGCCTTTGGGGATGTTTTTGGATACTCATGGATTATAAATAGGAGTCTACACACACACACACACACACACACACACACACACACACACACACACACACACACACACACACAGTGCAGAAGATAAAAACAACATAATATGTAAACAAGGGATAATGGTGGCTGGTGCTATAAATTTTACATTATTATTATTATTAATATCTTTATTGACAAAATGAATTACAATTTTGCCTAATCTGAGGATTTTGATAAAGCCTTATTAAAGTGAGGATAATGCTGGTATTCCCTGCCACGCAGGACAGAGGGTCATACATAAGACAATAGGTCTAAACTGTAGGCGGAAGCACATAAACTTCACATTTCTTTTGTTGACCCTCCATAAGTTTCACGTTTTCTGAAGCAAACATTAACACCCATTTTCTGTTTTTTTTAGGGGACTGCTGGAGGTGGAGGCTTGTGCACATGTCCTCAAGTGGGTGGGGATGGGAGGCGGCCCTCTGAGAAGGACCACCTATCCCTCCCTAGCCCGTCCCTCCTTAGGCACTCCCAAGGGGCCTCCGCCAGGCAGGATAAGGATGTCGAGGTTCCGAGATACCAGCGCCATCGCTACCGCCGGAGCATCAGCTTGGGGCAGATATTACAGGTATATCCTAGCGATGACTCGCACACGCACACCACGGGAGACATCTCCCGTCACGCAGGGTGCAGTCGCACCTCCACAGATCTCCAGTATCAGCTCTTGATACTGAAAATGGCTCAAAAGGGCCACCACTTACGGGCTATTCATGCCCGTGCCACCTTTTGGCTGGCTTAATCTTCATCAATCTTCATCAATCGACACACACACACATCTTGGTGTGGGTGATTGATTGATGAAGATTAAGCCAGTCACAAGGTGGCACGGGCATGAATAGCCCGTAAGTGGTGGCCCTTTTGAGCCATCACCAGTATCAGTAGATGATACTGGAGATCTGTGGAGGTGCGACTGCACCCTGCGTGACGGGAGATGTCTCCCGTGTTGGTGTGGTGTTGATCATGAGGTTTATCAGGCTCTGGAGGGTTATTAATGCCACCACAATAGCTTACTGATCAATTATCAAGTATACTAAAGTAAACTCAGTGTATATACACAGGGAAGAGGAGGGGGTTGGTTACATCTCGTATATATATCCATGTCGCGAATATCTTCTCATTGTATGTATCAGTCCACTCTGGTTGACTTTGGCCTCTCGGAGCTCCAGAATATACACGTCTCAATTTACAATGAATTGGTGCACAAGTTCTTGAACCATTTGTGCTGTCATATTTACATCTGAACGGTGTATTGCGTCTGCCACCACCTTGTCACTCTAGTTTATTCCAGTGACTTACTTACACTAAAGAAGTTCTTATTTACATGTCTGTGGCTCGTTCTGAGACTTAGTTTCTCCTGTGTTCATCACATTTCACATGCCTGGTCTGTCCTTGCCTGTCTTGTAATATATTCTCGGTATTTAGTATGTCGTGATGATGGCTCGTGTTTCGTCTCGTTTTCAGTGATGTTACATTTAATTTCCTTTAGTATTTGTTCGTATCTCAGTTCAAGGATTAGTTTGGTGTCATTTCTGCATTCGCTTCAGTTTTGTTTGTGTTTGAAGACATATGCAGTTTATTTTGGCGTTGAATAATCCACAATTGGTCTGAAATTTGTGATTTATAGTCCTAAATGATTTATTGTTTAAATACATGAAGACTGGTGTGGTGTTCGCAGCCTTGCATATGCAACTGATGTTTCCAGAGAACGGGTTGGCGTGAGGTCCTCAAGTATTTTTATCTGTCAGACTCCTGGAGGGTTTCCCCTCCCAGTCGGTACCTTGTACTCACCTAGTTGTGCTTGCGGGGGTTGAGCTCTGGCTCTTTGGTCTCGCCTCTCAACTGTCAATCAACTGGTGTACAGATTCCTGAGCCTACTGGGCTCTATCATATTTACATTTGAAACTGTGTATGGCGTCAGCCTCCACCACATCACTGCCTAGGATTCCTCCTTTGTATTCGGCCTTTGTTGCCAACATCTACATCACCCATCATCATTACTTTGCTTTCGCTGGAGTTAAACAAAAGACACCTCTTATAGGGGACATTGATTTGAAGGTGCCTGTTTCCACCGGGAAATTTAAAAAAACAAATTCACATTATTTAAGAATGTGATGACACTTTACTTTGCACTTTATTGATCACACAATATATATATATATATATATATATATATATATATATATATATATATATATATATATATATATATATATATATATATATATATATATATATGACAATGTCAGACCACGGAGGAAAAATGAAACAGGAAATTTCCTTAAGTACTTTCGTATATTAAATACATCTTCAGAAGGTGATCTTCTGAAGATGTATTTAATATACGAAAGTACTTAAGGAAATTTCCTGTTTCATTTTTCCTCCGTGGTCTGACATTGTCACATTCTTAATCACGTGTTTATTTTCGTGATATACACACATATATATATATATATATATATATATATATATATATATATATATATATATATATATAATAATAATAATAATATAATGTATAATAAACTCAGTTGTCCAAAGATTGTTAATCTTCACTTGTGGTTTAAGCAAGTATGGGCTTATATATATATATATATATATATATATATATATATATATATATATATATATATATATATACATATATATATATATATACTGTATATATATATATGAAAAATATTATAGGAGAAAAATATATACATCTTCAATTTATTTAAAACAGAGGCTTCAGTGTCCATAGTCCATCGTAACTGTTAGAGTAAAGAACAGATACAACGCAAGAGTAGTTAAAACCCTGATAGTTCCATTCACTCACAGCTGAGGCCACCGGAGTGAAGACAGCTGTGGAACTTCACTCAATATTCACACCGACGGGGACCCTCTACTCCAGACAGTTAGCCTCCGTAACACCAGCACTTTCATTGTGTTTTGTTCCGTTACCCTCATGTTACCCTTTCTACCCTGGCACTGTTGATCTGCTAAAAAGTTGATTGCAAGTTGTGTTTGTGTTGCAGAGCTCTGATGGGTCTTGTAGCGAGGGCGTGACCGCCTCCAGTGGACCCTACTACTGCCGGCCACAGGCTGACGCTGATACCAACGGCCGCGCCTCCCCAGACTCACTCAATGAGACCTATACTGACGGCTACGGCCGCGAACTGAGCGACTTCGAGAAAGAAAACCTGCTCTTCCTGAAGGAACTGGACAACAGCTACCACAGGGCGCTCTCTCATAGTCTGAGCAACACCAGCTTGGGCTCCACCTTCTCCGAGGACTCTCTGGCAGGTCGGTTACACGCATGTATGCAAGCACACACGCATACACGCACGCATACACGCACGCATACACACACACACACACACAGGAAGCAGCCCGTAGCAGTTGTCTAACTCCCAGGTACCTATTTTCTCCTTGGTTAACAGAGGCATCCATCTGGGTGGAAAGAAACTGCTCATTTGTTTCCGTCTTCGTCGGGAATCGAACCCGGACCATTAGGACTGCGACATCCAAGTGCTGTCCACTCAGTCGCGAAGCCCCGTGTGTGTACTCACCTAGTTGTACTCACCTAGTTGTGTCTGCAGGATCGAGCATTGACTCTTGGATCCCGCCTTTCGAGCATCGGTTGTTTACAGCAATGACTCCTGTCCTATTTCCCTATCATACCTGGTTTTAAAATTATGAATAGTATTTGCTTCCACAACCTGTTCCTGAAGTGCATTCCATTTCCCCACTACTCTCACGCTAAAAGAAAACTTCCTAACATCTCTGTGACTCATCTGAGTTTCAAGCTTCCATCCATGTCCTCTCGTTCTGTTACTATTCCGTGTGAACATTTCGTCTATGTCCACTCTGTCAATTCCTCTGAGTATCTTATACGTTCCTATCATGTCCCCCCTCTCCCTTCTTCTTTCTAGTGTCGTAAGGCACAATTCCCTCAGGCGCTCTTCATACCCCATCCCTCGTAGCTCTGGGACGAGTCTCGTTGCAAACCTCTGAACCTTTTCCAGTTTCATTATATGTTTCTTCAGATGGGGACTCCATGATGAGGCGGCATACTCTAAGACTGGCCTTACGTAGGCAGTGTAAAGCGCCCTAAATGCCTCCTTACTTAGGTTTCTGAATGATGTTCTAACTTTTGCCAGTGTAGAGTACGCTGCTGTCGTTATCCTATTAATATGTGCCTCAGGAGATAGATTAGGTGTTACGTCCACCCCCAGGTCTCTTTCACGCGTCGTTACAGGTAGGCTGTTCCCCTTCATTGTGTACTGTCCCTTTGGTCTCCTATCTCCTAGTCCCATTTCCATAACTTTACATTTGCTCGTGTTGAATTCTAGTAGCCATTTCTCTGACCATCTCTGCAATCTGTTCAGGTCCTCTTGGAGGATCCTGCAATCCTCATCTGTCACAACTCTTCTCATCAACTTTGCATCATCCGCAAACATCGACATGTAGGACTCTACGCCTGTAAACATGTCGTTAACATATACAAGAAATAGAATTGGTCCCAGCACCGATCCTTGTGGTACTCCACTTGTTACTGTTCGCCAGTCCGACTTCTCGCCCCTTACCGTAACTCTTTGGCTCCTTCCTGTTAGGTAGTTCCTTATCCATTCTAGGACCTTTCCCCCACCCCCGCCTGCCTCTCGAGCTTGAACAGCAGTCTCATGTGCGGTACTGTATCAAAGGCTTTTTGGCAGTCCAGAAATATGCAGTCTGCCCAACCATCTCTGTCCTGTCTTATCCTCGTTATTTTATCATAGAATTCCAGAAGGTTTGTTAGGCACGATTTCCCTGTCCAGAACCCATGTTGATGTTTGTTCACAAACCTAATGTTCTCCAGGTGTGCAACCAGTCGCAGCCTAATTATTCTTTCCAGTATTTTACAGGGGATGCTTGTCAGTGATACAGGTCTGTAGTTAAGTGCCTCCTCCCTATCTCCTTTCTTGAAGATCGGCACGACATTTGCCTTCTTCCAGCAACTGGGCAATTCTCCTGACATAAGTGACTCATTAAAGATCATTGCCAGAGGCACGCTGAGGGCCTGTGCTGCTTCTTTTAGTATCCACGGTGATACTTTGTCTGGTCCAACTGCTTTAGTTGCATCTAGAGTTGTCAACTGTTTCATTACCTCCTCTGCTGTCACCTCTATATCTGATAGTCTTTCATCTAGGGTAACCCCTTCCAACAATGGGAGCTGCTCAGGCTCGGTAGTGAACACTCCATGGAAACTGGCATTCAGTGCCTCGCAGATTTCCTTGTCACTTTCAGTATATGCCCCCTCTGTCTTCCTTAGTCTTGTCACTTGGTCGTTCACCGACATTTTTCTTCTTATATGACTGTGTAGTAACTTGGGTTGTTTTTTCGCTTTGATTGCAATATCGTTCTCATAGTCCCTTTCCGATGTTCGTCTTATGTTAATGTAATCGTTCCTAGCTCTGTTGTATCTGCTTCTGTTGTCCTCTGTTCTTTGTCTTCTGTACTTCCTCCACTCCCGTCTGCTGGCCATTTTTGCTTCCTGACACTGTCTATTAAACCATGGGTTATTATATTCCTTCTTATTTTTTCCCTTTACCGTTGGTATAAATCTCTCTTCGGCCTCCTGGCATTTCTGTATGACTAGGTCCATCTGTATGACTAGGTGTGTGTGTGTGTGTGTGTGTGTGTGTGTGTGTGTGTGTGTGTGTGTGTGTGTGTGTGTGTGTGTGTGTGTGTGTGTGTGTAATGGATATGATAAAGAGAAAAAGGTCGGGAGTCAGTACAATAGTCGGCCATTCGTTAGAAAGGCGGGTCCCAGAGCTAACAGCTCGATCCTGCAAGCACAAATAGTAAACACACATATGCAGTCTTGCTTTACCATAAAAGAACTACGGGCCAAAGTGACTTGACAACTTTGTATAACGATTTGTACAAAGAATCATTCGAATGCAATAATCAACCTGCGTGAGACATTTTTTTTAGTATGCAGCCTTAACATACAAAACCCCAATTGTTAACATTAAAAAAAACTAAAATAGCTCCAAAAATATATAAAAAAAAGACTGGTTCCTGAGTAGAAGAGACTGAACTACGAGGAAGGAGGGAGAGAACTGGACCACACTGGAGCAAAGGAGGAAAATGGAGACATAACGATATAAAATATAACATTCTGAGGGAACTTAGCAATCTAAACAGAAGGGATTGAACTCCAGCAGTCATTTTTTTCCTCTCCTGAGATTTGCCAAGGTCTTCCTGTGACTCTGGAGTCTTCTACTGTTTTACAGTTCCTCAACAGCTTTGCATCGTCTCTAGTCATTGACATAGACAAGTTCACTCCCTGGGGTCGTTTACATAAATTAAGAACAGTTGTGGTCTGAGAACCGAGCCTTGTAGGACCTCACTTGTTACATGTCCCCGAGGCTGCAGAACTCTCCTCTGACTATGACTGTCTTTTGTCCTCCTAATACTGTCTTGTTTAGTTCAGCGTCTTCCCAAATTAAAACTTTTTTAAATTTTGCTCCGAGGGGCCAGTTTATTGGGCAGCGCCACTCATCCTGTGAGTGGACACACCGCCATAGTGACAGTATTGGGCAGCGCCACTCATCCTGTGAGTGGACACACCGCCATAGCAGCATGTACAACACTCCCCAATAGGAAGAAAACCCAGTAATACCAGCTTGCTTCTACATCAGCCTTTTCAAAAACACTTTATACTGAGGAACAACATCAAATATTTGTTGACAGTCTAAGAAGGAACAGTCTACACAACATTTTTCTCCAGACATATTTTAGTAACTATCATAGAACTCTATCAAGTTTGTCAGGCATGACTTTCCTCTTCTAAATTCATGTGGGGGGTAGAAATAGCCTAAGCTACTCTATCTCTTTGAGATGTATTTCTTTCTATCTCAATAAACATGAACTTGAATTCATGTTGAGTGTTTACAATGTATCTGATCATTCTTGAAAGAGAAAGGTGGTCCAAAGAGAGCCACAATAACCTGTCATTGGTATAAATTGTCTCAATAGATCCTTATACTGTAGTGTAGTATATTACCACATGACTCATACATACATGCCTTGGCAAGCCAGCTGGGCACTCGGCCAGCCGCGCCCCCCAATTTTGACATTTATTTTACAGTGCCAGAGCGGTCATTTCGCCGCGCATCACTTTTCCCGTACGATAACTTCTGGCTGTGACTCGGCAGCTTGATACAAGTACCAGGTTTTCCACATATAATAATCATATGTTATATTTCTGAGTGTAATCGATTTAATGGATTAATTGCACCGTTAAACCAGCTATTGCAATCTTTGTTGATACCTCTTTGAGGTGAGATATTGTGAGGTGTTTGAGCATATAGGAGGAGAGGAGCGTGAGTGTTGCCACCTCTTGCTCTCTTTTTTTATAAACACCATCACCAGTACTTACTATCAAGAACTTTGATACGGGTTCTTCTCTTCACTTTTTAAAGCACACTTTCATACATATTCGTTTAATTTCGTAACCCTTCGGTTCGTGAGTGAGGCTGATGCTCTCCTTTTCCTTTGTCAATCAAAGATAATCAGAAAATAAGCCGGTCTTAGCGCTAGGCTTGATAGGCTATGGATGGTTTGGTTGTAATAAATGTACTCTTGTGTTCTGGGCCGTCTTGGCTCATATATATATGGGGGATCGAGCAGAGATTTTGGGTTTCTTGGCTTGAGAGGTGATGGAATATATCGTCTCCTTCAGCCCCTTCCTCTACTCTTTGCCCCAAGGCGCCCACCATTAAGCGCCCATGTCTTATCTACTTCAAAAGTACACCAATACTTTTTCACATATTAATTTTAATTTTTTGCACCAGAGGGGGAATTTATTGGGCAGCGCCACTCTTGCTGGGAATGAACACGCCGTCATAGCAGCATATTTGTCTATGTCTGGTACCATACTACTTGTGTATAGGAGGAAATGTATATGTTTATCTCTCAGAATGTTTGGTAATATGTTTACTGTTTGTGTCGGAAAATCCGACACCATTTAATAATAATATCATACAGATAATAGCTGTATTACCAACAAGTTACCCATAGAAAACGTAACTTTTAGTGGAATTACCGTCTAAAGAAAACGGGATATCATCACCACATACTATTATAATTCACCAGCTATTCTGCTGGGAATTGTTCTTAAATACATTAGTCTTTGGACTTTACCATCATAAAAACATCTTATATAAATTAACTTAATTATCAATATTAAAGTAGAGTAAATGTGACCCTTCTATCACTTTCTGAAATCTGGACAAAGTAGGCCAGGCGTCAGTGGGGAAGGAGGGCAGCCATTGTTATACGAGACCAGAGGCTCACACGGGAGCAAATTCGGCTCCTGTTAATTTTACTTGGACGTAGTGTTATGGAAACCAAAGGTACCATCTCCAACACGATGTCTACAATTCAAGTTAAGTGTCTATCCGAAACCCGTTTATCATTCATTTATGGCCATTAATGTCAGGATATAGGGTGATCCGGTTAGATCGCGAAATCGCCTCAAACTAAAGGTAATTAAGCCAGGTCTTAATGTTCCATGTACTGTACAGTGTTTTCTCTGATATAGCTTGTCATATATAGGATTCTGGCTTCACAGCTAGCGCACTTTTGACAGGTCAAGACGAGGATGCAAGATTTGTGCACCAGTTACTGGGTGATATGGAAGCTACCTCAAAGAGGATAATTTGGTGTCTACACCCTAGTTATACTATCGAAGTATATAAATTAACGTAAATATAAATTCATATAAATTAAATAAATATAAATCTCACAGGTCGGTTCCCACAGTTTGTGATGTGTGTCTATGTATGTATTAACACGATGTACTGAACGGGGTGAGAATAGTTTGAGCTACCTCATCCCTTTGTGTGTATTTTACCTCAATAAACTTATTTCAATTTCAATTTCAACCCCTCCCTCCCCCACCTCCCAGCAGAAGGATGAAAACCCCTGGGGTGTTCTTCCTGTTCACAGATCTTTGTTAATATAATTGATGTGTATTTTTGATTGGATTTGTTGATGTTAAAGTTAAAGAATCTTTATGAAAATGATGGTTGGCAGCGTGTACCAGCAATAGTGCCATTTCTGTAGGTAGTTTCCAAGCTCCTGTAAGTTATTATAATCCAGTACATAGTGGCCGAGGGAATGTTTGTTTTTTGTTTCTGCAAACCATATGGGTAGACTAATTGTTGATTTTTGTTGTTTGCCACCAGCGGCAGCTAGCTTATTGTGCACCTCATACTTATCCTGTGATCAATAGGCTTCGTATGGAAGGCCTCACTATTTTTTCCGTCTTACTGTTTCCGCCTAATTTATTACTCTGTCTGTGCTTTAGCTCTGACTGTGTGGGAGGGTCAACTGTTTCTGACAATTCTAAAGTCTGTTCCTTCATTCTTTTCTTGTCCGATTTCAATCATTCTATTATAGAACTCCAGTTGATATGTCAGGTGTGACTCTCGCCTGAAGCGATGATGAAGTTTCTTGTGAGGATAATGTTTTCAGTGTTCCAAGACACACTTTTTATATTATGTAGCAATTTGTATGGTATTGTTGTTTGGCGTCTAGTATTGGTACCACACTGTCAGGCGCGAGGCTGCTCTACACTGATGAGTGGCGCTCTATTACCAGCAACTTGCTCACCATCTCAACACTTTCAGGATCTATGGTCAGGTCTTGCAGTCTTTGCGTCCTCATGTACCTGGAGGTGATAAATCCCTCATATGCTTCTCTGTTGACCAGACCACACACTAGAAGGTGAAGGGACGACGACGTTTCGGTCCGTCCTGGACCATTCTCAAGTCGATTCTTTAGCTACGTTATTGTGACTCATCGCCTGCATATACTTCTCTGTATTACTGTAAGCGGATCACAGTCTATAGGAGTCCTCGCTCATGTCAGGTGGTCGTTCCGGCTCCACCGTGAAGACAGCTGGCGACTTATGGTTTGGTGTGTGTTGTCTGAATTGAAATGATTTTATCATTAAGTTCCTCTCCATCAGGAGACTCCACCCCGAGAGGCGGAAGCCCTTACCCTGGTCGTCGCGAGTATCCACGAACTGCCTACTCCCCCTCTAAGACCTCGCCCTCCAAAATCATCCGCTCCATCTCTAGGGAGGAGGACGAGGACGATCTCTCTGAGGACGAGGTCAGACGAGACTCAAGAGGAAAAAACCAGAGCAGTTTTAAACGGAAGATCTCTCTACCTATCTTCATGGGGCGAGGCAGCACCAGTAAGTACCTCACAAATACTTTTAATACAGCTTTCAGGTCTTTGGCCATTTCTTAGTTCTAAATCTGAATTAATTTCTTTAATATGAATGTTTTTTAATAATTGGATCAGATAGTCCAAAGTCATGTTTTGTTTCCCTGAAGCCTCATTGGCCAATCGATCAACAAAGTCATGATTTCATTGTGAAGTGTTATGATATACTATTAAAAATTAACACACAAATATTACTAGAAATGTGTTTACATCCCAGTAGCTAGAGATCCAAGTGGCAATCAGTTAATAACCCTCGAGGTAATGGGATCAGTTATCAGAAACCTTATATATATAAAATGTGTGTTTGTGAGAACAAGGGCAGTAATTGGTTAAAAACCCGAATCGACATGCCAGTTATTGTGTGGGTGGCCATTCGTTGATGGTCTTTCATTATTTCTATCATTAGAAATAATGATATTATTTCTATCTATCATTAACTGTCGATAGTAAATGGAAGGGGCAAAATTCTTGGGTTGAGATTGTGTAGAGTTTTGTAGTTAAGGGGAACGGGTGAAGGATAAATGTGTCCCCAAAATAATATGTAATATGTACTGTTAATGTGTACAGTATGTTTTAATTTACTGAAACATTCTATTATACTTTATATTTTATTAGTTTTCTTTGCTATTCAGATGTAATTTGTATTGTTAATTTATGCAAAGTTAAACCGTGTTTGGTTTTACTAGGCTTGAGTAGACTGGGTAAATAGGACTATGAGATGTTAATATATTAACCCATAATGTTAATTTAGGCTGGTTTAGGGTCTTCTGGTGTGTTCTATTTTAGGCTATTGTAAAATGCTAATTAGTCGCTGGCAGATGTTTGGTTTGTTGTGTTTAAGGTGACTCTTCAGCGCCCTCTAGCGTGTGTAGTCTGCCCAGTTCTTCTGCCTGGTGGACTAGTAGGCCGGCTCCACCCCCGCCCCACAGGAAGCTCTCCTCCAGTCACTCCACTCCATTCTCCTCTGCTAGCGAGGCCAAGATGCTCCTCTCCAATCGGAGCTTCTCCCCAATCAGCCAATCATCATCGAAGAACACAGCAGCCAATAAGAGCTCTTCGTCGTCACAGAAGAGGCCGTGGTCGAGGTCCTGGAATCCCTCGACCAATAGCGATGCTCTGCTGAATAATTGTAAAGGTAAGTGTGTATTGATTGTTGTAAGAACATAACATAAGAACAAAGGTAACTGTAGAAGGCCTATTGGCCCATACGAGGCAGCTCCTATTTATTATACTCCCATACCCAATTCCACCCATATCCCACTCACTCAAACGACATAACTTCAGCAAACTGAAAATTAAAGTGGGACTTTGCTGCTTAGGAGGATATCTCTAAGACCAGGTAACAGAGAGGAAATTTTGAGACAATAATGACTGGAAAACTCGCACATTTGGTGAGTATTGATGAGCTGCTTCAGGAATGACAGCGTCAGGTGTTTGCTGGAAGGTATTCATTTCTCTACTACGGTAAGTTGGATTTCCGATTATGTTATCTACCATAACTGTTTAAGACAGTGGTGCCCATCTCTGATATGATGACACATATCGCTGAACGACTCGACAAGCAGGTTGTTTCCCTCAGAGACTCTTCCCTACACGGGCCAGACGAGGTCCAGCCTCATAGTTGACTCCTCGTTAATATCTCATGATTCACCTTTATCTTCCTCGCCCTCTCACCCATCATCCGACCTGCCTCAGCTGTCGTCCTTCCTGCTGTAATGGGGCTTCATCCATCATTAGAGAGTGGTACGGCTGCTTCACAGCTGACTATCCCCACTATCTTGCCTCTGCTGGCTCCCGTGTCCAGGGATCAGCCTCCCTCCTTGCTACACAGTAACGAGGTACAATAGAGATGCAGAGATACAGTCACAAAAGTTAGATAGAAAATAAATGAAGGTGATGGCGTCTGGGTTCGTCTAGGGAGCCGGTCGGCCGAGCGGACAGCACACTGGACTTGTGATCCTGTGGTTCGATCTCAGGCGCCGGCGAGAAACAATGGGCAGAGTTTCTTTCATCCTATGCCCCTGTTACCTAGCAGTACAATAGGTACCTGGGTGTTAGTCAGCTGTCACGGGCTGCTTCCTGGGGGTGGAGGCCTGGTCGAGGACCGGGCCGCGGGGACACTAAAGCCCCGAAATCATCTCAAGATAACCACAAGATAACCTACGTCAGTTGCTCCCCTCTCTCCCTCCTGTACATAAAGCTGTGTCCAGCTACTGTGTGTGGGCTACGAGCCCAGATCACGATATACTTTAGTATCATTCGTAGGTGAGGTAAAATATATGAGACGAGTTTCCATGAGAATACCGAAATATCAAAAGCTGAAGCCCAGGAGCTGTAGCTCATAAGCCTCTCTACCACAGGCAAGTTTTATCTTGCCAAGTTCTTATGTAGGGCATACGTAAATTTGTGTCTATGTATTTACGTATGTAGGTTAGTTTAGCATATTAAAAGCACCGAATCACCTTCTGTGGTTGAGTGTTCAATAAACCCTTGAACTATATGTTTAACACATCTCTAACCCTGTCCATGGAGGACAGAAAAAAAATGTATATATGCTGGTTAGCATGGTAAATGTCTGGCCACGTCTGTGGTAGAAAATATTATAAAAAAAAACAGGCAAGTTTATCCATCCGGATGACGCCAGAAGTGTCCTCTCGGATACAAGTGACTTACACAAGTCTTGTGTAAGTCACCTTACACAAGACTGTTCGTCAAAGAGTTTAAAACCAACCCAAAGGTGCCCTGCTCAGCATAACCTAAATTAATACAGTACCCCCTAATCTAATATATACGGTTTTAACGAACAGAAAACGAGCTTCGAGCATAAACTTTCACAGTTTCATGTTAATACCAGAAGGTAAAAATCAACATTCCTCCAGCCTGTGAATGGCTCCCACTTAACCTATAATCATTGTCTTGGAAGGAAATTTCACTGCTAGCTGGAAACACTAAAAATGTTTTTTTTTTCAACCTGAATTGTATAGTTCGAACCCTTTTGAATTGTATCTTTAACCTCAGTTTTTTTTTATATTTTCTACTCCGTTAAAAAAATGAAACGGTTTTGTCTAACTAGAAACGTACTAACCCAAGCAACCCTACTTGTCTATCGAGGCCCATGTATAGAAAACGTCAGTTTTACTGCCTTTAATTTGTACTAATATGTCGCATTTTTAATGTTTTTGCTCTTCATTTAATTTTGCCCCGAGGGGCGAGTTTATTGGGCAGCGCCACTCATCCTGTGAGTGGACACACCGCCATAGCAGCATGTACAACACTCCCCAATAGGAAGAAAACCCGCTGGGTTGTTCATCCTGTCACTTGTACCCAGACACAGCTGGGACTTGCTTAACTGTCTCAAGTGAACAGCTCCTCAAACAAGAAAATTAACATTTGTCAACCCTTAAAATCTTACGTTATCTTGCGGGTGCAAAATGGGGAAATCTTTTAAGAACAGTATCAATATTTGACACATAGTGTTTTCCTAACTCAAACAATGTGGGGTTTATTTTTTTTTTTTTTTTTTTTTTTTTTGATTCTACACATTGTTACATTCTTGTACAGCCACTAATGTCCAAGTCCTCAGGTCCCTGTACGATCCCCTGCCGCGAAGAATCGTTTTTTCATCCAAGTACTTTTACTGTTGCAAACAGAGTAGTTAAGGTTGCATTAAATCCTCCCCGGCCAGGATACGAACCATCATAGCGTCACCACTCTGCACAATATTTCTAATGTCCCTCAGACATTCTCTCAGGTAGTGGTCAAGGCGGTGTCCGTCACTCTCACCACAGATTCTACAACTCCGCTGCTCAACTGTTGTTTCCATCCCAAATCTCCATGGATATTTGTATCCAAGACGGATTCTCGCTATTACTGATTCTCTCCCGCGGCCACCTCCTCTTCGTCCATAAAGATTGGGATTGGCAGCTGCAACCATGTTGTACCATCGTACAGATTCACTGGTTTGTGCTTCTATCCTCCTTTCCTCAGTTACCTTGTCACGGTGATGTTGCCTGACAATGCCTCTAATTTGTAGTAGAGTCTTGGGTATGAAGCATTCAATATTGTCTCCTTCAGCGCCTTCAGCAGCCAGCACATCTGCTCGTTCATTCCCACATATTCCAACATGGGAGGGGGAGCCCCAACTTGGGAGGGGGGAGCCCCAACATGGGAGGGGAAGCCTCAACATGGGAGAGGATCCACAGAAACTTGACGACTCTTCCCTGGTTGATTAGTACCCCTCACAGCGCTCTTAATTTCAGCGACTATCGCAAAGTTTTCTGTCCGTTTTTTATTATTAGGCTTTGTAGTGCTACTTTTGAATCAGTGCTGAGCACTACACCATTAGTATTTCGGGTCCTCTCTTTTTACTCTAGTTCCTCCTGTAATATGTTGTTATATCTGCCAAGTCTACCAATTTTGTTCTCCAAGTCTCAACATTCCTGTGGAGGGTCCTTGGGAAACAAGGACCCTCTTTCTTTCCTGTGGGTTAAAGATCTTTGGTGTTAGGATTTTGGCTCTTGTTCCCCATGCCTCTGTGCTGCCTTTTCTGTTCCCTTTAGGCAGTTCTCTTTTTGCATAGGTCGTATTGTTCCCTAGACTTGTATTGTTTGGTGGTGAGAGTGTAAGTCACCGCTCCACCCACTTCATGTCTCACGCTATTGTTAATCCTTGTATGTACTCGAGCTGGGTGGATTCCTCTGATAATTTGACTTTTCTGAAGATCCAGAGTGTAGCAGTAAAGTTACACCCCCTCTGTTTACCCTGTCTGTGGTGTAGGTGTTGGTGATGGTGATGGTGGTGGTGGTGGTGGTGGTGATGGTGTAGGTGGTTGTGGTAGTGATATAAGTGTTGGTGGTGATGGTGGTGGTGCAAGTGGTGATGGTAGTGATATAAGTGCTGGTGTTGGTGGTAGTGATATAAGTGCTGGTGGTGGTGGTAGTGATATAAGTGTTGGTGGTAGTGATAACAGTAGTGGTGGCGGGGAAGATGGGGGTTGGGAGCAGCAGCAGCAGCGGGTGGTGGGGGGGGGGGATAGTTCGACGCCAGTCAGGAGGAAGGACCGCAGTGTGCACGTGACTCTAGTGTAGTGAACATTACTTCTCGCTCCTCTTGTCTGTCTCCACCCTCCTGTGCTGTCACCCCGTCATGACCTCCGTCTCTGGCTGACTGTCTAAGCCGGAGTTGTCTCTCTGTAAAGGCTTGACTATCTGTCTGGTCTTTTTAGTGTCTTTAATCGGAGTTGTATCGATAACATTCTTCGGCTCGTTCCCTACAGCTGCGTTTTAATGCGTGTCTGCAAATATTCGTAGCGGGTGTGTGTGTGTGTGTGTGTGTGTGAGACATAGACAAACCGTCTCTGTCTTTCAGTGTTAGAACGATAGTTTGTTATACCTTATCACTTCGAATAAATGATAAAGATATGAGGCGATAAGTGATGTGTTTATTCTCCATCCTGTACGATCGTGTATGTTCCTAGATCAACGGTTGTGAGGTCCATGTGTGTGTGTGTGTGTGAGGATGAGGTCTATGTGTGTGTGTGTGGGAGATTGAGGTGTGTGTGAGTGTGTGTGGGAGATTGAGGTGTGTGTGTGTGTGTGTGAGGATGAGGTGTGTGTGTGTGTGTGTGAGGATGAGGTGTGTGTGTGTGTGTGAGGTCCATGTGTGTGAGGTGTGTATGTCAGGGTGTGTATGTGAGCTGTGAGTTTGTAAGGATGTGTTTTAACGCCTGTAGAAGTGTATTGGTTCGTCCGTATTCCTATTTGTTTATACACATACTAAGTTATATGTTATTTAAGGTATCGTGTCTTTATAAGTGAACAGTTTTATAATGTCTATCAGAAGTGTAAACAAAGACATTACAAGTGAAAAACTAAGTGTCTTTTTATTTAAGACGCCCTTAACAAAGACACTTAAGGTGTCTTAGCGTAGAAATGATCCTAAAGTTAAACTTATATAATAACAAGAACATAGTTTTTGCAAATTGGAATTTGAAAGAAAATTACATGGTAACAGTTTCACATAAAGTGTGGTCTTGAAAGTTAGAAATTGTGTATTTGGGCTGTGATTATAAGTGTTTATAAGTGATTAGTAACAATCTGTAAATGGGACGAATATCAACCTCATAGGAAAGGTTAATAACATTATTCAGTTGAAAG